CACCTATGATACAATAAGGAAAATTTACCAGCACTTATTTTTATGCAAGCTGTCATATTTAAATGTATTATGAAGCAGATATGTGAAAAAATAAAACCCACAACTAAAAGTAAGATAGAGCATCAAGCTGTCTGATGATATTGATACTGTGCATTCAGTGTGGATAATCAAAATAAAACATTTAATTGCAGAATTTGTCAAAAATTGTTAATATAATTTTCAAAATACTATAGTTAAATTATTTTACACCATAACTAGTATAAACACCCTTACAATTTATTTTAAAATTGTTAAGACAACAAGAGCTGAGAGGAATTAAATAATAAGAAGAATAAGCTGCAGGCCTGGAGCTTGTATTTGTGAGGGAAATTAATACATATTGTGTACAAAAACAGGTACACATACTGTATGTTTTGCTTGTTTTAGCAAGGACTCATAAGGAAAGTGCTTGTTTAACAAGGGATGAGAATATTTTTCTGGTAAGCAGTAAGAGTTCTGCCTTGACTGGAAACAGCGAACTGTACGGGAAAGTTGCTGTAATTCTTTTCCACAGGACAGCTTCACTCTGGCATTAGGATTCACTGGAGTTTCACACTGTACTCTGCATACAAACACTCCAGCACAGAAAAACAAACTGCTTCAGCTGGATCAGGAAGCAGGTATGGCTTGCAATGGCAACGAAGGAGGCCACAAGTTAGCTTTACAATGGAAAGAGAGCTCCTAATATTGCTGAGTCAGGAAGTAAATGGAGAGGAATCAGGGTGACTGAATGAATAAACTCTGATAGCAATACACCCAGGCACAGTGACCTGGAAGCCAGCATGAGACGACCCCAACTATAGGCTTGTGGGCTATTTCAAGAATTGTCTCCAAGTCAATGAGCATGCGTAAAGATGCTAAGGAGGGTTTTTATGAGCTGTGAACTCTCAGGGGGGGGCTAAATCAAGACCTGCATCTTATTGTGGGGACATATTCATCCATTTGCCTTCCCTCACACACTGACCTCATAGTCAGTGTACTTAGTTCATAGTACTATGACCTCATAGTACTTATCAAACTACCTCTGGGAGCCAGGGGAAATACTACAACAAATTAATTTATTTTGGAGGCAATTTTCATCTCAAATGCTTCCCAGACAGCTGGGAACCACTTATGTGCAGCCCCCACCTGGGTGAGATGGAGCTGTCATTTTGCCTCCCCCCACACACACACAGAGCTACACTACACAGCAGATCATGAGGACAAGTAAGAAATTACTTCACCTGTTGAATTAAGGAGAAAATATATTTAAGAAGGCCGAACTGTGCAAGTCCTAGGTGGAATTTAGCTCGCATAATGTATGAACAGTGCAACAGGCATTTTAATGGCGAAGTAGTCAGAAAGTTAGCATCTCAGTTTAACATCTCCTCTTCTAAAGGATGGGACCTCCTACAGCAGTGTTCCTGTCACCATACTGGGACTTTGGCGGGGAAATTCTGGTGAAGGAAATTTCCTCTCCTAGTAGTATACTGACCATACCCAGTCTTGCTTAGCTTCTAAAGTCTAATGAAATCAGCCCACAAAGTGGAAATACTGGTGTAAACATTTTCAAAAAAGCAGTACCGAGAAAAAGAAATACAGTATACAGTTCACGTTCACACTGATACACTAGCTACTAATAAAGTAAAAAACACTCCACTGTTCCTGAATTGATTCCTTCTTGTTTCCCCAGTTAATGTTTTCCTCGAAGCTACAGCACACTCATTAGAAATGAAGGACGAAAGCAAATTCGCCACCCCGGAGCACTGCAGTTTTGATCCACCTCTAGATTTGATTTATGAGCCAAGAGCTTTTATCAAAACAGTGCTGATAAATTATAAAAGAATTATTATTTCAACAGCACCAAGCCTGTCTACTCACAATAAGAGAGTAGAGTTGAGATATCCATCCATCTTCCCAGCAAGCAAAGTGCACAAGGTGGGACACACGCTGGATGGGACCCCAGTCCATTGCAGGGCACACTCAGGCACAAACACAAACACCAGGGCCAGTTTTCCCTGAAGCCAATTAACCTACTAGCATGTCTTTGGACTGTGGGAGGAAACTCACCCACACGATCACAGGGAGAACACACAAGCTCCACACAGACTGCCACACAGGGCAGCAATGGGAACCACTGAGCCAATGGGCCGCCCTCGAGTCAGCCAACACCTGCTATTCTTTTACACGAGAGCCTTCGGCTTCAACTCTGCAAAGGATGCAAACGTGCGATGTCACAGGAGTCTCCCCTGCTGAGAACAGAGGTTCAGCTCAGCCTTTCTTTCCACTTGCTCCTGACCAGCCCCATTCGCAAGACACACCAGGATAACCTAAATCAGGCCGATCTTTGACTCAAACAGTGGCACGAGGGCTGTAAATGAAGTGGAAAAATAGTTATTATTAGTTCCTCAATAAGTGCTCAATCAATACACGTCCTAACTGAATTAGAGGGGCCATAAATTCATTCTCCCTCTTGAGAGCTTTATGGGGTCCAAGGTTAATAATAAAAACCTGCATTCTTTAGAAGCTGTGGAGCTGTAGCACCCAGGCTTTGGGTGCTGTTGCTGATTAATGAATCTTGCAATTCCACCTGAAAATCAATCCCTTTTCATTTCTTCCCGGCAACGAGGCTTGTAAAATGTTCCACTATTGCTCACAGAAGGAGTCTTGTTATTATTCATTTTATTGCTGCCATGATTATTACTGTTGGCTGCTGTAACAGTCCTAGCAGTCTCAATACGCGGTGCTTTGTTTGCAGTTCGGTTCCCTCAAATGCTGTTTTCAGGGATCATGTCCCACCTTCACTGCATCAGAACGCTGGCCACCTCCTCTCTCCATAACCCATAATATTTTTCTGTTATCCTACGTAAAACACAGCACCGTACCACCAGATACTGATGAACCATGTTGTTGATATTCAAAATAATATCATTGCGCATTGGGGCTTGATAATTGCTACGACCGTGACACAGCAACAAACTGGGTAAAACCCATGCAGGCAGAAACCCTCAAACATACATCCTTAAGATACCGTCCAGTCTAATAACTTTTGAGGGCTTTGAAAGCTGTCTTCCATGTTAGAGTCTGGCTTTTCTTTTTGGCTTTTATGTTACTCCTCAGTTATTCAAATACAAAAGTTGCACATTTAACAAGGCCTGTCAGACTCGCTGTCAAAAGTGATTTACCGACGAGCTATATCCCTCCCAAGCTGAAGTTTGTTCTTCAAATTGCTCGATTTTAAAACTGGGTTGTCCAGGAATAACACATTAGCACCGGACCTACCGCATCTGTTTTAATACGACAGAAAACGGTCACCTTTTTGACTGACGTTTGTCCTGCCAGTCTGATGCTGGACTATATACGCGCACCCCAGGCCCCCGCCCGTCGTCGTCTGTCATCCACAGATGCTGAACTGAAAATGTCTTGTTCAGTGTGTGAGACGAGAGCGCCGTTTCCTAGGAGAGAAGCCTGCCAGGCCCTCAGTCCCCGGTGCTCGCCTCTCGTCAGGCTGCCCCTGTCTCCCGGGCAGCCATTTTTGCGCGCTGGCTCTCCGAGCCGAGCTGTGGCCTACTCTCGCCGGCTTCAGCGTAACACGTACAAAACAGCCCTTTAAACCTGGAGTAAACGACCAGTAAAAGGCAGAAATCTGGACCGGGGGGCTGCTACGTCGCGAAAATGTCACTACTGTGACATGACAGAGCGTTGCCCAGTATTATTAATCCTGGTACTGATAATGATGTTAACGTTAGCCAGCTAATGGTGTCACTGACAAGCCAACGCGCCGGGATCAAATATATCTTAATGTGTGTATCGATATTGAAATTGATTATGCGTCTGTGTCTGCAAATCCCAACTACAGCCATCGCCCCCACGGCTCACAGTTAAAAACACACACACACGCACAACCCTTGTTGTGTGTTGTAATGATGATAATGACATCCCTAACACAGGGACAAACTACGCCGATTTCCCTAAACAATATCCTCACGATATATTTAGCAATCACATGAGCGGAACCAGCCGTGACATCGGTCATGTTCGGGGGGGAAAAGAGCCGAGTGTAATGTTGCCATCGCGATCAATATCAACGTGAAAAAACGACAGCTGTCATGTTGTGTCAATTCTTATTAAGTGCCGCAAAAATGACTGAGCGGACTGTGTTTTGAACATAGAAACAATGCATTTAAAACTACTAGGCATTTTCAAAACATTATTCATAACCAAATTCAGCTCATGCGAGCGGGCTTATAAAATTTACCTTTAGTGTTAAGACACTGTTTGTTTAAACATTTTTAATTGTCGAGTTCTGAGCTTGTTGTGTGATTCGTAGGCCACGATCAGCGATTGGTAGGTAAGCGCAAATGTCAACGTGTTTCGGTTTTTATTCAAGAAATTTCTTTTTGACATGACAAACTTCGGCGATTAAGGAAACAAGTGGTCAGTCATCTTGCTGTCATGACACTTCAAATACAAACAGTTCAATGGAAACGAGCCGAGAAATCAAATGCCCGAATACGAGCTAGCTACATTATTTATCTTCATCCTAACCGTGACATCTCCCCTATGCATATGTGACTAATGATACCATACTAGAGAACATATCGATATTCATTTGTGTACGAGAAAAAAAAACAATCCTAGAGTAACAAAACCACAAACGTATAGTAAGGTGTCATGAATGATTCACGGTGTTAATTCGATCACCTTCAGTGAGTTGCAACACGCAAGAAATACAGAACAGGTCCTAATCACGGCATTTAAACAATTAACTTATATTAATTGAAGAGGTGGCATGACCGCAAGGCAGTGCCTTTTATTGTAAAACACACATAGTTTTCAGTAATTAAGAGGCACACACTAATATGGTGTTTTTTTTTTCAATATAGCGACGAACAATGTTATACCAGCAAAAAAAAAAAAAACAACAACAGTGAACTGTAGCTTAAACGTGAGATCGGAAAGACAAAACGTATTCCACTCACCCAAAGTCCTGGTCCATGGATTTAAAGAAGAATTTGTAGTTGTTGACTGCTCGATTGTTAAGGACATTTTTGAAATCCGCTAAAGTCACTTTTTCGGGCGGAACTGTCAATTTCACCAAGTAAGGAGTCTCCTCTTCGTCTATATGATAGATTATTTTAGTCTCCGCCATGAGAATGTGAATAAGACAATCATTGAAATGAAAAAAAGGAGGAAAAAACGGGGCTGCCGCGATCCAATATAAAATAGAGATTAAAAATAATAACGACGTTAAAAATGTCAATAAATTAAAAAATAAGCCTACAACAGTGTTCTGTTGCACGCTTATAAAATAAATAAACCCGTCTTTGACAGCACAAGCAAGAAAACACTCATAGTCGAGGTCTGGGTGTCTCTATTGCAGCTCCAATGTGTCTCACAGTACGGTAGTCGGTAGCTCAGTGGAGTAAAACAGGAAGAGACGATTCACATCCTTGGAAGACTGAGCCTGGAATATTACTGGTTTTCCAGCGATGTCCCTCGCAAGTGCTGCCACCTAGCGGCAACAGTGTGCACGGTGCAATACTACAGTACCTACTGTAGGAGCCCACTAGATTCCGGCGGCTTGCTAATATTTGTCAAAAGGAGAGCAGGAAATTGTCTCTCTGATCCTGCCAGTGCCTGTGCCTAGCCAGAAATGCATGACCAGCTCGCTTAACCGGTGCAGATATGAATCGGTATGATATGAGTGGTGGTCTTCCCGCGGGGGGATTCCTGTCAGTATTACCAGAGGTGTTTTTTCAATGTCTCAATTAGGTCGGATTAAAGTCTCAGTAAAAAACAAACAAACACAAGATTTCTTTATCCAACTAATTCGTGCAATTTAGTCATTAAGGTAAACTGGAACGAAAACCACAGTGTCTTCGTGAAGAGGTGCCGGAATATGAAAAGAGTGAGGACATTCTATACTATTTCAATTTAAACCATTGTTTTGGCATTTTTTTTAAATGAAGGTAAATTATTTTTTGGAGTTTCCTACTGTTGCATAGAATAACGACTAGCGAATTGCCTAGCTGTTGGCGTATCCGTTATTATTTATTTATTATTCTCGTTAATATTCATTGTCTGGAATTGGTATTGTATTGGTTGTAATATTGCCCGTGTTGTCTGGGTTTTGCAGTTCCACACTTTGTATCCAAATGAATGCTCTAAACTAGATGCCAGCCTGCTGTCTTTAGGAGACATTTTGGACCTGTCTTTAGCGGACCGGACAGCTGGTGAGGACCCATATTCGGTGAGGCCCGTACACATGAAGACACACACCTGAACACACGTGCCCAAATGCATGACGCAGCATCCTCGCACCTGCAGAAGGCCCCACAGCCGAAACGTTGTGTTTCTTTTCTTTTCAGCAGGCGATAAGCCCCGCTACCTGCCCCTTTGCCGCCGACGCCTGCTGACGCAGCTGCCTGCTTGAGCTACCCCAGCGCGTGTCTGGATGTGGGCTTCCTCAGCAGGTCTTCCTCCGCTGCGCCTCTTTGCGGGGATATACGGGCGTGTCGTGCGCCGTTCTCGCCCTGAGCGAGTTTGTTAGTGCTGCCGGCTCCTGTCACTGATGCCCACCCTAGGGGGGGGGGGGCGGGCTCCCTGGTACGTGTACCCCAGCGGCGTCTGGCGATCATCACTGACAGCGCGACGGTAGGACGAGCTGGGTATGCACCGTGCGGAAGCGTGACACTTTCCAGACAGCCTTTTAATGTAGTCTTGCAGTGTTATTTGGGTAAAACGGTCTCTAGAGACCATGTGACTGATTTAGGAACAAAGCCCGTAGAAAACGGAGAAATTGCTTAGTGCGGAGGCTATGTCTTTAACACCGAGACCAAATAGATCATTGAGAACCAATTCATTGTCCTGTTGGCATGGCTTTATGTATTTGTTGTAGACTTGTTGCTACTTGTTGTAGCTTGTAGCGGTTGTAGCGTTGTAACGGTGGTAGGTTGCAAACGTTACCGGCGAACTTCAGCTCCGGGCTTGGCAGATTCTCGGAGTCTTCTGCTTTTCTAATGACTCTTGAATTATTGACCCAGACGTCTGATGGGCCAACAGCTCGAGTTTCCTGAGCAACGTGGACTCCTGAACTGTGCCGATCTGAGCTCTGCTCTAACAGGGGGTAGATTGCTGAATGATTCCTAACGCAAATCTTCAAAGAGAAGAAGACTGCTGAAAAAAAAACTGTGCCTGTCACACCGTTGTCTGTTTTCAGAGGCAATTTCGGACCGGAAGTCTGCCGTTCTAAGTATTTCCACGCAAACGCCCAGCAGGGGGCGGCGTTTCAGTCCAAAGCCTAGAAAGTTGTGGAAGGCGATTGCTGGCCCCATACATTGCGTGGTCCAAAATAAAAATGATCGTTTCCAAACTTTGTTCAGTCTCTACGAAACCTGTAACCTTCCACGTGACTTTGAAAAAAACGACAATCTCAGACGCGCACTATCCTGGACTGTGGCGATGCGGTTTCCAAAATGATTTCTAAAACTGCCCTTGGAAAGCCGTGGGTTATAACATTTCTGCCAGAAGATGTATCAATAGCGCCCCCCGAGAGTACTCAACTCGTTTTTGTGATCCTTATTCTTTGGTTGTCTCTGCGCAGACGAATGTGTCTGGTTTTTAAATGCTCTGTAAATCTTTATGGGGGAAACACCTGTATTAAATTGTATTGCCGAGCTTCTTTACAATGATACAATTTCAAATGTACGTGTATCAAAATGAACCTTGCAAGAACAGCAGCCATATCATCCTGCAGTGGGAGGCCTCCTGGGAAAAACTAAGGCTGCCACTGGAAGAGCTGGTAGTGGGGCCAGCAGAGGTTGTTTCTCGAAAAGAGTAGGGGTGTAACCCCGGCATCATGGCCAAATTTCCCATTGGCCCTTACCAATCATGGCCTCCTAATCATCCCCATCTCTGAACTGGCTTCATCACTCTGTTCTCCTCCTCACTAACAGCTGGTGTGTAGGGAGAGTACTGGTGCGCTTTGTGGAGCTGCACACTGGTGGTGGTGGTGGAGGGGATCCCCATTACCTGTCAAGCGCTTTGAGTGGGGTGTCCAGAAAAGCGCTCTATATATTTCTACTCACACCCGAAGAAGGCTCCACAGTTGAAACGTTGTGTTTTCTCTCTTCCCTTTTCAGCATGGAATAAAGCTTTACTTGTTCCTTTGCAGACTACGCATGCTGACGCAGCTGCCCACCTGATACATTTCTACTTGACACATATCTGGTAACAGTGCCTTGATCCGTGACTTTTATCATTTCTGTTTTCAGCATGTTGGGTCAGCCTTGTAAATGTAAACCTGTTCTCAACTGCCTTTCTGGGTTACAGGATTATTATTAACGGCAGACGAACAACATCTTTGATTTTTTGTTCTTATCAGTTGATGGAAGCTGTTCTTTCACGCATTGTGGTCTAACTCTCACTCAACTAGAGTTTAAAATGCGGATCGTGAATATTATATTTTCTCCCGCCTGCCACTTTCCAGCTCACAATTAGCCCATGTTTCACCTCGCTATATCCCAATCCCAGGGTTTTCCGGTTTTACGCTGAAGACCCACATATCTGCTGTTTTTACTTCCTGTCAATCAGATATCACGTCAGTTACACAGTCAGGCCTTCAGCCGATGGTTTTTTAATTGTTACAAATGTCGGAGGCTGCCTTTTAACTATTGCAATTCGTAAGTAAAGTAAAAAAAAAACAAACTGCTGAAGAGAGAGGAAAAAAAAACAATCAAGCAACGTATTACTGCGATTAAGAATTCAATTCAGCGATGAAGCTCGGGTGCAATGAAAACCAGGAGGTCTGTATCGGATTGATATGAGATCTTGAAAGCTCTTTGGGTCCGAAATGTCATAAGCCAATCAAGATCGCACATTTGTCGAGGAGAAAACAACCACACCCTAAGGCTTTCAAAGAAGCCACCTGTTACCTCCATTTAAAAGCGTTCAAACGGGCGAGTTCGCGTTCTGATCACGGACGTGACCGCCCTCTAGCGGCCCGAAACTGCACTGCGGCCTGTCTGGGAGGTGATGTCATGACCAAACCAAATCCCACAGCGATTGTGTTCTCAGGCCCGTCGTCTACCGCATCAGTCTGGCATTTTGGGCCTGGGCTGGTGCTGGTGCTCATAGCTTCGGCATTGTTTGATTTCTCCTAAGTTAAACCTTACAAAAAAAACAACAACTCAAAAGACAGACGAAAGCTTCCCATCCTTTTTCTAGTTCGAGTACAGTATTCGATATTGTACAGCCGCACATTCCGCAGTGATGGAGACACACTTGGCATTTAACACCCGGTCTGGCATTTTAAAACGTTTATTTTAAACATTATTTGGAAAATATGCGCCTCCAGTTACAGTCTGAGAATGAAACCTAATTGAGGGATATAGTGCGGTCTTGGAAGAGCCGGGAGAGGGGGAGGCACATGGAGTTGAGCGCTTGTTGCGCTCCTCGGAAGGCTGTAAGATTGCGTCTGCTAGCATGAAATCAAGATTTTAAAGGTTTCTCGAATATTCATCAAATCAATTAATATTTTGAATACACAAGAACGTCTCGCTGTTTTACTAGTATGTGACCCATGTATTGTGTTACGACAATAACGAAAACACAATTTTCATAACTCCTGACAGGCTTTTATTCAGGTGAGATTTGCTCCAGGTATAGTGTATCTGCGGGTTGCAGTTTAATCGGGGTCGGTAAATCGCGGTGCGTTAGGTACAGACTGGACACTGTACTATATTAGCACAAGGTGAGAGAGAACTGGCTTCTAAAACACAGGACTGGTCTGTAATTAAAGCGATTCTCGTTGTTTGAAGCGAACTGGACTATTTGATGACGGCGATTCATAGCATTTTATAACGTTGTTGGTGTCTGTGTTCACATGATCAGGGCCACGGCAGTCTGAAAATAGTAATATGACAGAATCGTATTCGTGAGAAGAATTACAAGTCAAAAATAACACTTTTCCGGTAAAACGAGCAGGGGGGGAGTTGATGAGGCATTCTTTGAGGTTCGTGAGAGACCAGAAAATAACCTGCAAGCGCCTTAGAGAAGCACATGGATATACGCAGCTGACTCCTTCCCAGGCGTCGCAGACCGGCACACTAGCGCAGTCTGACCGTGCTTTGAGACGGACGAGCTCAGCTGGTGAAGCAGGTCTTCCGCTTCTCCGCCTGATCAGCCGTGCGGCGTGGCTGCAGTAGCAGACAGGTGTGGGTAGCCTTCAGAAGTAAGTGAAGTGGATCCTCTCCTATGCGTGACTTCAGTGCATTCAGAAATGGCTATCCGAGAATTCTGTTTGAATAAGCGCCGTTGTTTTTGGCAATGGTCTCTTTGGGAAATTTGTGCTGGAGATTAACTGGTGCTCGAAATACTAGAGTATTTTAATGGCGCGGTCTTAAAAAGGTTAGTTCTTAAGACATTTTCCAACCAAATTATAACCACATTTAGCAGTTTAAATATAACATAGGTTTATATTTGCTTAGAGATTACAGGTGGAGCTAAATAAATTATTATTTCATGGTTCACAGGGAGGAATTCAGACATTCATACGAACACACATTCATCTTTCACAGACTCGTATTGACACATAAGACTCACAGCGGCACATGGGCTGTACACACACCATACTGTCACAAGCACAGAGAAACACAGTCTCAGTCTCTCTCCATTCAGGAAGGCAGTAGAACAGAGGGCTAGGCAGAAGAGCACCCAGGACTGGGAGGGTAGAAGGAGTCAGAGGTACAGAGAGCTGGCAGTTTTTGGACTGAGCCAGTTCTCCAACCAACAGTCACCCTGGACGTCCTGCTTAAAGGTGGACTTGAACATCAGCCAGCAGCCCTCTCACCCTGCAACTCACAAGTGGCAGCCCACTGAAGCTCAGCAGGTGTGAGCCTGGTCAGTACCTGGATGGGAGACCTCCTGGGAAAAAGGAGGTTGTTGCTGGGAGAGGTTTTAGTGGGGCCAGTAGGTGGTGCTCACCCTGCTGCCTGTGTGGGTCCTAATGTCCAAGTATAGTGACAGAGACACTATACTGTAAAAAAGGCACCGTCCTTCGGATGGGGTGTAAAACCAAGGTCCTGACTCTCTATGGTCATTAAAAATCTCAGGGCGTCTCTCAAAAAAACAGATGTCCTGGCCAAATTTCCCATTGGCCTTTACCAGTCATGGCCTCCTGATAATCCCCATCTCTGAACTGGCTTCATCACTCTGCTCTCCTCCCCACTGAGAGCTGGTGTGTGGGGAGAGTACTGGCGCACTCTGGCTGCCGTCGCATCATCCAGGTGGGGCTGCACACTGGTGGTGGTGGGATTCCCCATTACCTGTAAAGCTCTTTGAGTGGAGTGTCCAGAAAAGCGCCATATAAGTGTAAGCAATTATTATTATTAGTTTAAAGAGCATAATTACAGGTGCTTGACCATCGTGTAAATTATCACTCTGATTTATCAGAATCAAAGCAATAACGGGTTACAGGCCTTATTATTACAGGCCTGATTATCAGATTCAAAGCAATAATGGGTTACAGGCCTCAGACACACAAAATCACCAGGAGTCCATAATCCAGCTGTTTTATTGACCTGTTTCAACACAGTGCATTGTGTTGCCTTTTACTCCCTTGAAACAACACCCCCACCCCTTCTCTACTCCCCCCACCAGTCCTCGCAGGCCCACCAGTTGCAGAAGGATGGCCAGTTTATTTGGAAGCAGCAGGAAACCTGCGCATTTTCCAGTTGACCTCTCAGCTGGGACACTGTGAAAAACTGACCAGCCAAAGAAATCAAAACTTCCGCATTTCGGAAAGGGAGGAGAGGGCACGTGGGTCGGTTGTAAAAGCAGGAGTTCTCTTAAAAAATCAGCCCTTGTTTTCATGGAGTTGGGCGCGGGAGAGGACATCAAGCCTCAACCCTAAAGAAGACTACCCTTTTCTGCACAAGCAAGGAGTCTTCTTTTCATGTCTTGAGCATGAACCCTTAACACAGAATGATTACAAGATATGGGATGGAAACCTTCTAGACTGAGTCCTGAGAGTGCACACACCTGCGTGTTTGTGCCCCAGCTGAGATCTTTGCTTAACTGGATCCTTAATTGAACTAACGGGGTTGCTCCTGGAGGGAGCAAACCCTGGCAGCGGAGTGAGTGGAACAGGAGTGCCAATCTTCCATCCCACTCCACATTCCATTCCACAGTTTCTGAATCCCGTAGAAACTGGCAAAAGAAGATTCCTGAAACATGTGCGTCGACTCGTTTCCTACACCTCGTGTGACTAAGCTCTTGCCGGAAAGCTTTTCTAAAATCAACCAGCACTCTCCTCATTGAAGTATGGATTGTGCTCTGCTGCTGCTCCCTGTGGGGATGCCGGATGATCTGTGTACAACGGTAGTAAAAAAACTCCAGGGCCATTCTTTTCCTCTCTGCTTCAGGGGTCATGGGTCAGCCTGTAGCTGCTTACCGATAGTCTAGTTTGTGATCGAGCAGGTGTCTCTCTGTGCCAAATGGAAAAGGATCTTGTGAAAATCACCTTGGTTTCCACAATCTCAGCAGCACATTTTACAATAATTCAGAAGTTGTGGAGGGCAAATATAGTGACTGTGCTTAATTAAACGTGGACAAAAAATGTGTGACTTTCTCTGTAACGTGTTGGCATACTGTCCTGGAATCCCGGCTAAAAAATCCAGTTTTGCTCAGGGGGGGAAAGAGTATTTTGGATTGCAGTGCAATCATACGCACACGGGGCTGCGAGCTGGAAAGTGTGCCTCAAAAACAGTTTTAAAAAGCAGCCTTCCAAGGGGAATCTGGGATTGATCACCTGTGTGACAAAGCCCTGGACCAGAGCTCTGGCTCCGTCCTGCCAGCAGAGCTGGAAGACAGTGAGGTTGCAGGACTGGAGTGGGGATCAGGTTTTGTGTGTAAGGTTGGCCAGAGTAACCAGGCTCAGCCCAGTGCCGCTGTGTGTGCCTGCCTGTGACGGTTTTATCTTCGGAGAATTTGCTCTTGGCGGAGAATAGCAGCAAAACAACAATGCACAATGCTGGCACGGTTCTTTCTGATGAAGAGGAAGTTGTAGGGCTTTTTTTTTTTACAGATCGACATTTTAAAACAATGCGAAAATGAATAAGAATCATTTAGGAAAGAAACATTTCAAAAGGGATAAGACTGGAGAGCAGCAAACATCTGAAAATGCCCAAAAGAAAGCTGAGGATGAGGATGGTCTGGAAAGAGTTAACACCATCTCGGTGAGCATAGTGACCTGGGACTGGGGCAGCCAGACTGAACGGGACTGTATGTGAGTCAGTGAAGCTGGAAGACAGAAAAGACTTCCAGGCTTAAAAGGGAACCCTTCAGACAAACCTGCTTTGTACAACAATGGTTTCGAAGCTCCAAAATCACCCACTCTCTCTGGAAGTGCAACATCCCCCTTGTCAACTTATGGACCCAGCTGCTGTTTCCTCTTTGATCACATCCCCCCTGCACTGCAAGCTTTTGTTTCAAGCTGGCATCCAGATGGGGAGACACCACAAACATCCAAGACGTCAAGCAGAAATCCAACCATACATCATTCACGTTGGTCCACCCACTTCAACAAAAGGGTGCTTTTTTCTAACAATGATGCAGTAATTGGTTTATGTAAAACCATGTTTTGAACACATTTTGATGACAGGTCACATGCAAGCCCTGCAGCATCTTGAAGGTGTATTATCTTGGGAGAAATAATTATTCTGTCTGCCTCTTTAAATAGTCCAATGCCCTCTGATAAACAGGGCAGTTAACGGTAGGGAGGTAATCAGGCTAAGCCACTTGTGTGTGGGTTAGGAATTGGGGAGACCAGTCATCTGAATAGACACAGGAAGGCTAGTCTGGGAGGTGGGAAGAAACTGGAGCACATGTAGAAAACCCCAGTGAACAGAGGGGAACTCTGCTCAGATGGACACCTGAGGCCAAATCCGAACCCGGGGATCTTCATGCTGTGAGGCAGTAGTGCTAACCACAACATCACAGCCCCACCAAAAAATGATCATTGCAGTGTTTCAAAAACCTGCTCTAGGTCCCATCCTACAACGTCATATCTTTGCTTCAGTCAGTGTCTGATCCCAAAATGTAAGTGATTGCACTACAGACTACAGCCTTTTGACTTCTGAATTGGTATCTATTCATGAGAAATGTGAGTCAAATCTGACAGCAAGCAACGCGTTGAACCAACCTAACTGTGATGTCATATAGATCTGTATACAGAAGCAGACAAAAAATTGGTTTTGCCGTTTCCCCGATATTCACAGCCATTCAGACAGAAATGGGTGACGTGAGGCCACAGTGGTGCAGCTGGAGAGCAGGGCAGTGAGTGGGAAGAAACTGGAGCACATGGAAAAAAGCCCAAGTGAACAGAGATGAACTCTGCTCAGGCGGACGCAGTGGCGCCCTGTGGCCGGCCCATTGTCATTACAGCCCCTCTCTCCAGCTCCACAGCAGCAGTCCATCACAGTCTATCAAAACGTTAGTACTGCAAGATTCAAGGGTTAATATCCACATAGTTTATAATGCACTGATGTATCCTCATTTATTGTAAAAAGCAAGGCATGTATATTTTAAAATAAAGGTTCAAACAATGGTGTACGATCCAAAACCCTGTAATGGTAATTACAACATAATCTCTTCTCAGCATTGCCCTTCCCTATGTAATACAGAGACATCCTATCCAAATACACAAATGCGACTTCAGTTTTAACTTCTGCATAATGCATAGACTTAACCATTTTGATTCATGGAAGGAATGGCTTGCTGCACTTTACAGCTTTGCACTGAATCCATCTAAAGAATGTGAAATTGGGGAAAATGATGTCCTGGGACAGAAGCAGCAGCTAATGTAAGCAAGCTCTGGCCACTCTGAAACTGGCCTGGTCTGACTCCAGACTGTGGGCTTTGAAACATGACTTCCACTGTGCCCCACCCACTTACAGCTCTCTCTCAGTCTGATTCCAGCAGATAAAATTCTAACTTTCTGATGAACAAAGGCTTTGACCTTTGCCTTCTTATTGGCTTGACGCCTTATTTTATTCATTTAAAAGAAGCCTGCCCTACTGCCCCACGCACAGTGGATAAAAGGGATTGTGTATTTCCTGAAGCAGTAAAGACAGAAGATGTTTTATACAGTGAGGCAGAGTTTCACTGTTTAGAGGTTTTTCCTCTTTTTTGCTGTTTTTCCATTCTCTTCTTCTGATCTGTCTTCAATTCCTCATCTCTTTCTTCATTCTTTTAATTGCACGAAGCTGACAGTCACCTTTCCCTGACTATAATGGAGCACTAGTGGGGTTTCAGAACGGATTTAGGAAATATTGCTTTATTGGTCTGTAGGGAGGTGGCTCTCCAGATGTCACCCTAGCTCCTAAACTATTACAGCTCTTGGAAGACGGCTGCATCATCCCAGTTCTGGACAGCACAGGGCGCACAGAGCCAAGAGTGGGTTAGGCACACTACAGAATCACCCTTGAGATTACCTTCTGTTTTCCATAAAGTTCTATCCAGATGAGCAGAAACCTACCATTATACCGTAGCTACATAAACTGTCAAGGCACAGCCTGTGATGGAAAAGCCAAAAAAGCTCTTAGATTGGAGAACAGATGCCCAATGAACACTAGTAAGCAGTATGGGAGATTATTTTTTAAAAAGTACAGTAACTCCTTTACATTTCTACAGTGCAGCAGTTCTGAATTTCTACTGCTAAGAATATATTTCTATGCAGCTGAATATAGATATCGATCTTCTATTAAGGCCTACAAAAATCATAAATGATCTAGATACTGCCAATGCATCCAGTCCGATGCTGATACGTCTATGAAATGAGATTTACTGAATAGAATTCCACAGAAAACAGAGCCCGCACTTGTAGCAAAAACAATATTCCACAGTGAAATGATTCATAAATTGCTTTTTTTTTTGCTAGATGAGTTGAGTAGAAAGCTGGTGCAGTACAGTGTTAAAGCACTAATACTCCTCTTCCCTCTCTCTGTAGCCTCAGACTCGCTCCTGGATTTTGCCCTGGGCCAGCCAGCGGCATTCCCATCTCTCACTTCCAGGACTTTCTCTCCATCTCTGCGGGCAGAAGGGAAAGAGCAAGAGAAACGATGGTTGGTGCAAAGAAAAACAGAGCAGGGGAGACGGCCAATTCTGGTCCCTGGTTTATCTGCTGGCTTTCCTTCTGGCGCGGCTCTTAAAGAGCTAAAGATGTTTTATTTTTGGCTGAAAGGGGAACTGCAGTCACAACGTCTCAGACCGGTTATTAAATGTCAGTGACAAAAAAAATAGAAATTCGGAATGAAGCACAAAACGTGGTGAAAGTCGCCATGTCGTGAAAAACCCCTGGTCTCGCAATGGGTCAGAGCCAGAGTTTGGGAGAATTGTGATGCGAGCCTGACCCTTCCTGCTCACTAGTCTCTGTAATGAATAAGGTAACAGGATGGACGAGCAGATACATACAGGCCGTGCAGCAGACATTCCACCACAGAAATGTTCCAACGTGATCTGCACGCAGAGTTAACGAGTCCGTTGTATTTATAGGCAAAACAGTCTCAAAGTGGAGAGCAATATTTCTATTGGATTAAAAGAGATGTATTCACACACCTGCTGGTTGACAATGTAATAAGGCCACTTCACATCATCGGAAGTTTTGTTACCTCGTTCTGAGTTGCGGAATATGGTGCTATGCTTGCATGAAAATTAAATCTATTTTGAGATGTAAATTGGAGATTTTAGAAGTTGCTGTGTACATTTTACTTTTATTGGGGTTTGAAATGTACTCATCAGCCATGATTCTTTCTAACCCCCCCGATATAAAAATAGCCTTGCAGCTCCACTTTAATAGGACCAATTTAATGGCTTCTCTCAGCTCTTTCCGGTGCTGGTGCTTTAAAAAGAACTTGAACTCTTCAAAATTCACCAGACCTCTGGTACCAGAGGTAGATACCCCTGCCACTTAGTACTAGACTTCGCAATATAACACATACAGAAACAGCATACCTCTTTCATTCATAGCATGATAATCAATGCATCTCAGGTACATGTCTTTGGGAAAAAAATCATTTCTATTTTGCCTTTAACATAAAAATATGCCTTTATCCAACTTGCAATGTATTGTTCTCTAATTTTGTCATTCCGAATTTAAGGCACCCTGCAATCACTTCAGTGCCATACAGTAAGTGCCAGGTTAAACTCATCTACAGAATCTACATAAAGTTCATTCTTTTGTTCCATAACCAGACTGAGCAAACCACACAATCGAATGAGCTCCACACACAAATGGGACCATAGAGAGGTCGACATCATCAATCTGCCACCTGCGTGGGTGTCCACCACAGCTCACAGGCTTGGAAGGACACTCCCTGGCCATGACAGTGTCTTCGCCGAGCGTGACCGATTTTAGAAGCAGCTAGTAACTGAGGAACAAATGCGGTGTCAAGCTTGGATAGGTCTGGATAGATGCCGATTTAGCCTCTTCCAAGCTGTCTCATCAGTTGGTCTAATTATGGGAATAGAAAAATCCTGTTCTCCGAGAATTCAGGGCTTGTACAGTGGGAAGCAATTGCGAAGGACACCATCGTCTTCATCTGCAAAACCTCCAAAAGCTGCAATGGCCTCCCACTGAGCTTCCTGGCTCTAATTCACCATGTGAAGACATCTGCACCTACAGCTCCCTTGATGGGATCCCTCATGCCTGCTGGAGAAACCCAGTCACATTTACTCTTCTGCTCCTTCAACAGGGACTCTGATGACGCTATTACCTTTATCCAGGTCGATCACTTTGGCGGGCGGGACTTTGGCCAGCTCTGCCTTCTCCTTGAGGATATTGTTCTTGTAGTCTGAAACGGAGAGGGACAGTCGTGCTGTTGATGAGGAGGAGGTTATTATTAATATTTCGTTTAGTCTGTGCACCATTTGTCATCCCAAACAATCCCAGAGCACTTTACACACTGGAGGGGACCCATTTCATCCACCACAGCGTGTAAACTGAGGGCGAGGTCCCTTCAAGATAAACAAAGCAGCTCTTTGCCATTTCTTTTCCAGAAACCCTCCCCCCCCCCCCCATCTGAAAATACGGATTTGGAAAATTCCCAGCGTCAAGACAGCGTTAAGAGGCATTTTTGACTATTCTACGGTATATCCAATGTGTAGCGTTTTTAAATAAATGTTGTTGTAACTCCACATTGCAGTTTCCTCTCACAGGCCAAAGAGGCACTGGCAGGTTAATTGGCTTCTGGGAAATCTTGCCCTGGTGTGCGTGTGTGCGTGTCTGTGACTGTGTGTCTGTGCTCCAATGGACTGGACTGGCGTGTACCCTGGCTCTGGCTCCCTGGCTCTGGCTCCCTGTAACCCTGTACTGGATAAAGCAGTTACAAGATGGATGGATGGATTACCCCACACGGCTTCCACAGTTCCCTAATCAACCTAGTCCAGGAATCAAAGCGATGTCACAGCTGGAGTGCAGAATCTCAGCCTTACCCAGCCTGATCTCCTCGTGATTGCAGACTTTCAGCTCTGTGGCGTCCATCTCAAAGTCATTAGCAGCCATCTGGCGCCTGCAGGTTGGAGAACACAGAGGGGCTCAGCTTTTATTAGAAACCTTGAGACCGCTATAAGCACTGCCTCCTTCTGATCACTGCCGATGTCTCCGCTGAGAACCCAGCTTTTTTCCCTTGTTTCATTCATGTCCTCTGTATCTAAGAAATGAAAGGCTCTGGAATTGAGCCCAAGACCATACAATATAAAAAAATGTTATTTTTTCATTAACTTGGTAGTTTGATCAATGTCATATTCATAAAGTGTTTTCACACTACTGATCGTCTGTATTATTATTATTATTATTATTATTATTAATAATAATAATAATAATAATAATAATAACAATAATCAGATCAGCTTGATTCATTAAAATAAATAAATAACCTGATTAAGACAGTGAATATGACAAAACAGTATGAATACCAATATCTTGTTGGCATTGTCATTAATTCCCAAATATTAATCCTAATCAGACTAATAAGGATACGAAGGCACAAGACCAATTGCTCTGAACTTGCCGTTCTTCACTGAATATATCTTTGCTCACTGCTCAGGCAGTAAAATCCAGAGGCTGCAGTTCATTCCTCCCACAGGAGAGGGAGGAAGAGGGTGTTTATGTGAAGTCTCCAACCCCCTAAACATAAGCATGCCAGCAGAAAAAATGATCTGATATGCAGTAGTTTTGTTTTGAGTCAAAAACACCATCACCAAAATACCAGCTGAATAGCTCTACTAGGAAAGAACATCTGGAGAACATTTTGAAAAGGTAAGTGTTTCCACAGATGGATTTCCAAGTAAAATCCTTGTAACTCCAGTCCTGGGACCTGCAGGGTGAGGTAGGAACAGCAAAATATGCTTACCGCTCAGATCTTCGTAGATCATACTCCAATCCTGAAAACAAAGATGAGGACATGTCAGTTCAGGACAGGTTTAAACGTCCGAAAACACTGCAAACAAACACAAAAGCAAAACCTTACAAAAATGGACACCTAAGTAAACAAACATTGTAAGCAGAATAATGTCAATAAGACAAAGGTTTGATGGACAACTCAATGACACAGCAGGGAAGCCAAAGCACACCATTGTACAAAAGGATCTGCTGGCATGCCCTCCTCACAGGCAGGCTGGAAAAACAGACCTTTCCTTCGGCATCGTCGGGTGAGGATGATGATTGCCGTGGCAACGAGGACCAGGAGGAGGAGCGCTGCCAGGATGTAGCCCATCTGCTGCAGGAAGTGACCTCGATTCTCTGGGAGAATAACATTGATGACACGCGGCACCTCCACCATGTTGGACCCTGAGACCGGAGAAACAGTTCTGTCTCACACAAGTGTGCAGTGCAGTCACAAACTTCACAATGCTCTCAAAATCTAGGAAGCCCAGAAGAACACAGCTGTGAGCAGACATGGCTGCTTCTGCATTCTTAAGTGTCTACAGTTTGTTAAAAGTCTTCATCGGTAGCAGACAGGGGCTGCTAGCAATTTATCTGGCTGATACTCCAAACGTGAAATGATCTATTGTTCTACCCACACCTTTTGGTATCCATTCATGCAGCTGGGCTTAATGGAACAATATGTACCTAAGAAAGGGCACAAATGAGAAGTGGCCACTCATTCCATCCAGGCCACTTGGCTGCTCGTAGCTACTTGATCTGAGGATCTCATCCAGCCATTTCTTGAAAGATGTCTCTGGATCAGTTTTAACGGTGTGACAGGGTAGCTTGTCCCAGTTCCCCTCAGCACTTTGTGGGAAATGCTTGCCTACTGTTCTCATGTAGTTTTACTTCCACATAGTTTCCACCTGCATCCTCATGATTTACTGTTCATTCTGAAGGAGCCCTTACTCCACATGATCATTTCAGTAATCTTACATTTAATTAACATTAGACATAAGTCTTACTGTGTGAAATTACTGAAATGGAAATGAGAGTTTTAATAGTGAATCATTCTTAACTGTTTCTCAATATATCTTAACATTCTGTTTATTTATAGCTACACTATATCATCTAGAAAATGTGAATGATGTGTCAACATCAACACCTAATTATTATTTTTAAGGAACTTCTTCTAGCTCAGGATTTCTCCTTTTGGATTTATAATTCATGTTTTTACTTACTGTATGCAGTACCCTGCACTTGTCTAATTTATAAGTCATCTGCCAGGTATTTGCCCAGTCTTGAATTTGATCTTTTTGAATCTCCTCGGCATCTTACTTACTCCTGGTTAATCTTCCTATTTTAATATCATCTGTAAGCTTCACTAATTTACTAACTTAAACAGCATCTATATTTCTGATGTAAATAAGCAAAAACAGTGGTCCTAATTCAGTTGAGGTGGATCGCCCCAATTAGAGGTTTCACCCTTTATCTTTACCCTCTGTTTTCTTTCCATTAAGCTCCTTTCAATACAAACACACGCTACCTGGAAAGCCTCCTGTCAGCAAACTAAGAATTAATCTTCATCACAAGCCTTCTATTCGTGTTCCCATTACCCTTGGAGTAGCATCTCTTGTACTCTTGTCTATTGAGAACAATCAATAGAATATTAACAGGTCCTAGAGATTTATCTGAAGTGCATCTTGTATCCGATTCTGGATATAGGTCATGTACCTTCATACAATGTTAGCACAATCTGTCATTTGAAACCAACATAACTGATACTTGACAGCTCTACCACCTTTTAGTTTGGTCCTGTCAGATCTGATAAGCTAAGCAAAGCTGGTTCTAGTCAGAACAGAGATGGGAGACCTCAGTGAAAAATCAGGGTGCTGCCCAAGGATCAGTAAGTAGCGACCTTCCCTCTGGACCACAATTTCCACACCCAGCATGCAGACAGGAGACACTGGGCTGTAGGAGGTGCTGTCCTTAGGATAAGACATCCACAGGAGGTCCTGATTGATTGGTCATTACAGATGCTATGCCATGTAAGAGCAGGTGTGTTAACCCCAGAGTCTGGGCTAAATTCCACTCCACTTGACCAAACTAGTCTCCCTAAAGCTCCTCCTTCATTCAACAAGTAATTGATTTCTCACTTCTCCTCCTGATCTACTGTGGAATGAGGAGAGCTGCAGCACATCACCTTTGAGTTACTGCACTACAGTGGTGGACGAGGGTCCTCTCCTCCTATGTAAAAAACACTTGGCTTTCCTTCGGCATATAAAGCGCTATCGAAATGCAAGGAATTATTATTAAGTTTCCAGAGAGGAGTCCACAAGCCTAACCTCAAATGCAGATGATACACTAATCAGCTGGTTCCCTGTTCTTGTTTCCTACAGCTTGACTATGTCAGTGAACCCCAGAGTGGAGGAGGGAATGGAAAAAAAAATGTTTTTGTGCTGAAATGAGTTCCAGACCTGAAGTCATGCAGAGATTTGTTTTCCTGGCATGAAAACACAGAAGGAGACGGGGCGAAAGAAAGAGAGAAGGGGTGGAAAAGAGAAAAGGGAGGTATTGGGCATTGTTCCGCAGGCCGACAGTGCTATTTTTCTTTTTTCCTCTCTATTCAATATGCTGCACAAGCGCTCCAGCACCGTTTTTCATTTTTAAAAAACATGTCAGGCTATTTCTCCCCACCCCATCCACCACTCTCCCTTCTCTCCAACTCCAAGGCCATTACAACTTGAGACAGCAGCTGGCAGGAAGTGATGTCACAGCTCTGGCTCGTGAAGGGCGCACACATCAAACGAGGGAGAAAGTCTCTTAATGAGACGCAAATGTCTGCGGACTGCTGAGCATGCAGGAAGCAAAAGTGCGCAAAACCGAGAAAGAATGAAGACGGAACGAGCCGAGGATAGGAAAAGGGGAGATTTGTGAAGAGGGAGAAAGGAAGGTTTTTTTGGGGAAATGTCAGAGATTGGCAGTAAGTTATCTGCCTTAATTTAACTGAACACAGGTCACAGTATTGCCAGGTGTCAAAGCATTAGCTATGTTAAGAGCCTCTGTATTTATGTGGAAACATCACAAATTCTGGACTAGTGCCTGAGGAGATGACAGAGAGTTTAGAAAGACAGGCTGACTACATACAAAACAATACATAAGGCATCGGACAGACACACACATTAGGCTGTCAAAGAGACAACATTTAAAATCAACACAGACCTTAAACACTTCAAACTTTAACAGTACTCTACTTAAACCTACTCGCTTGTAACCAAAAACCAGGCATTGACTGAAGACTGACTTGTGACGGACAATTTCTGAAACAGAACTTCAGAGATGACAAACTTTTCTTTTGCCAAACATTTCTGAAGACATGACCTCCCACAACCAGACTTAGGCAAAAATTGAGTTTTTCTCGATTCTCTGACATGGCTGGTCACAATTCCCATAGTAATGAAAACACGGAGGTGTGTGCTTTATGGACTTTTACTGCTCTTATACATCACAACAACCTCCCAACACACACACATACACAGCTCCATGGCTCAACTGTAATTTGAGGGCGATGCAATAAAACCATAAGAGATGAGTCTGATTATGTTGGTTTCAAGAGTTTTTTTCTGAATACTGTAATCAGCCCGTCATGGCTGTTCAGAAAACAGTTATTACGCTGCACCTCCTAATTAAACACTCACTCGCTGTTGTGTTCACATCTCCATTCAACCTTTCTTTCCATTTTACAATGCAAAGAACAGGGGAAAAAAAACCTCTCAACAAATTACAGACTACAGTGTCCTGGCACTGGCCATCACGGGCAGAACTAACAATGACCTTCATTTTCCTTTCCTGCATAAGACGAAACTGACATGTAAATGAAACATTTGAAGCCTGCACCCTACATTTGTACCCGAAATGAGTTAAATCTGCTCACTGATACCATCAGTTTCATTATGCAGTCAATGCTATAGTACTGTATGTCAGGCAAAACTGGATTGGAATACAAAGCCTCAATGGTATGCAGGCTAGTCCAGAATACTCAGTCTGTCAGGCATCCCTAATGGGTAAAATCATATGGTGGTCCCATCCTTCATCACGGATATCAAGGATCCAAATTCTGGTAATCGCTTCTGTTACTTCTGTACCTTAATGCAAACATCCAGGCTGCAAGACAGATGAGAGAAATGGTCCCCTGTGGGGCTGTCTGCTTCTGTTCGCACTGCAAGCATCCAACAGCAACAAACGAAGAGCTATGTTACAATGCACAGGACGGACAACAGCAAACAGGAATGCTAAAGGCTCAGAGGCGCCGCTCAGCCCCCAGCCATGGGGTTCATGGTTTTGCAGTGGTGGCTCTCAGCCAGCTGAGTGGAAAACCAGCTGATCTCATTACCCAGAAACCAGCATGCAAACGCTGGGCTAGGGGGACCCCGCTTGCTTTCTGAGGAGAAACCTTACAGAGCTGTGACATGAGAAAGAGACGGGGAAATGGGTCACTAATGTAGCTCACACTATCACAAAATTGCCCCAAAAAATGGCTGCCTTGTTTAATTCTTAACACTTTAATGCTGAGATTCTGACTCTGCCTGCTGTTCCAGGCGTACAGCTCACAGGTAAGCTCAAGGGCTCTGGGTAGAACATGCCTTCAGACCCCAGAGTCCTGAAAACATCTCAGGCACATTTCCAAGTCCCTAAGCAGCACTATGCTGCAAGACTGGTCTTCAAATGTTTCTTTCTAATACGATCTTCATGAATCAAGGGAGTGACAATACTGGAGAAGAGAAGCTGTTAAATCCTGTTTCTTCACACATGCAAGAAAGAGGCAGACTTCAGAATTACCAGTCAAGGCAACAGCCTCATTCAGAGCTGTAGGAACCAGTCAGGTCCCACGAGGTTCCCAGGAGGCACACAGGAGGGGGCTCTCTTTCCACCTGTCCAGCAGGACGGTTCTCGTGGAGAGGGGGGCTCATCTCCTAGTCAACATGTCACTCACAGAGGCCTGAGAACAGGCCATTGCCTTCAACTCAACTCCCTCCCTCACTGACTTACAGAAACCCTTCTGAAGCACAAAACTGGGAGCTTCTGAAGGGCCAGGAAAGGCGCTTGCTCAAAGCACCTACAGATCGAGGCATCATCAGCAGGAGCTAGGGCTGTATCATAAACCCACTGACTGGAGCTTCACAAGTGCCAACACACAACTGGCTGAGCCTGGCCAGTGTCCAGTAAGCTTGAGTCTTCCCATGGTAACCTGCGTTTGCCATGCAACTGCTTCACCTGCTGGGAACCTGTCCTCCTTATATTTGGTCCCATTTATACAGCAGGGCATTTTTACCGAAGCAACCTCCAGCAAAAGTTGGCTCAAGTGCTCAAGCTGTGACCCACCCGGGATTTGAACCCACAGCCCTCCAGTTATGAGTCCAGAGCTTCCTGTACCATGCAATGGAGCTCAAGGTAGGGGGGGACCTTGCCTGTACTGTCTGTATTTTTGCTGAGCAGGATGTAGGCTGCATCAGTAAGCCAAGCTACTTAACAATGGTTGATTGCAAGATGCAAATGAATAAAAATGGGAAAATAACTGGCTATTTCAAATTTCAAAAAGGAATTTAAAAAAAAACAACCACAAAACCTCCGCACTGGCCTATGGAGTAGGGAGCCCAGACAGAGGACAGGGGGGACAGACTGAGCCACAGTCAGAGGGACAGGAAGAAAATCCTTGGTGTTGGCTGGGAACTAAACCCCCCCCCTACCCAGCCCCCCTGGAGCGCTCTTTCATGTCTCACAGCTGGCCAGATGTTGTGCAGATGCTGACAAATCCCGCTTCCTGCTGATATCGCCGTGAACAGCGCCAACGCCAGCAAGCTTGGGAACAGAGATCTGTTCATAGGCCCCCTCGGGCTTTCACCCCACACCCACAAACCCCTCTTTTTTTACCACTCCTGTGCAGGGAAAGGGCAACAGGAGCCTTGTGATGAAAGACACACGTTGCTCGTTTAGTTAGATATCCGAGGTCCTTTCGTAAGTGTGCTGGAGGCAGCAAAGCTTAATCATAAGTTTAATCGCTTGACTGATCGTTAAGTCTTTGCAAGTCCCTTTGGTTAAAAGCTTATTGTTCAATGATCCTTATTACTACTCCTATGCTGTCTTGCCAAAATATGTGCAATATTTTCTATAACATTCACCACCTTAGCAAATGGCTTATCTGGATCTCCAACAGTCTGTTTTTGAAATATTTAAGAACATGCTTTTGCTTCCACACAAAAGTTAGTTCACTTTTTTTGAACTCCAACAAAACTCTTGGCCGAAATCCCAGTTAACACTCTAAAAACTATCTGCGGGCAGGGTTCAGTTTTTCACTTTACTTTTCTTGTTAGGCTACACAGTATGAATAACAAGGCTTTGTGAACAAATGCTGTTGTTCTTTCGTACACGAGAAGCCCCCCATTATGCATTACTGCAGACCCCCAATGGCTAGATCAATGGTGGACAAGTGAGAAATATAGTACATATATCTTTTTCCACACCTGTTGAGGATTCTGCTAGACTTGCATTTTTAAATATTTACATTTTGTTTCCTGGAGACAGATGGAGCAGCACTGAGGACTTGTTCCAAGGCTGGGGGGTCAGAAATTGCACCCAGATAATACTCATCACAGTCGCAAATTAATTGCGAAACTATGCAAGCATCTGAAAAGGAGTTAAATTCCCCTAATCACCTGAAAACGAAAAAGCTTTACATTTTCAGGTGATATCCACAGCCTCTCTCGCGCTGCCCTGAGGCTCTGGTTTAAAACAAGCCTCGTCTCCTGCTCCTCCCTCTCTTGTGGATAGAAGTAATCCCCTCTCATCCAGTCTCCTTTTCCTTCTCTCCGTTATCTGACATAATACAGCTGGCTGTCCTCTTTGATCCCTCCCTCCCTCTCTGGCTCTGGCACGGAGTTCTTGTGAACTCCCCTAAACCCACCGGCTGCTCCACTGTTGAAGAAATGAAAGGAAAGAAATCCTGGGAAGCAAGGAACAGCTCCTTGGACTTCACTTGCATTTTCTTGAGCAGCAAGGGAAATTATCTTCAGCCTCTCTCTCCCCCCCCCCACCACCCCACCAAAGTCCCAAATCCCTTGTTTTTTTTTGCTGTGCCGCAGAACTGTAATCCCAGACAGAGAAGAGGTTATCTGATTAACGGAGAGTGTGGGGTGAGGGAAAGGGAGAGCCAGGGTTCGAAAAAAGAAGAAAGAAACAAAGTGAGGACAAGGAACATGGGACAGAGAATGCTGGTATTAAAATAGCAGGGAAAAAGCTTCAATCTAGAGAGGCAGTCATTTTTAGAAGTGTTCCAGAGTTTCCCTGTTCTCTTCGGACGACATGCCCCCATTCCTCTCTTCCTCTACGCTTTCCCACAGGGAGGGGAGGGGGGGAGGCCTCTGTCTGGCCCAGAGAAATGCTGACTTTGCGGGAAGACGTAAATATCAAAACACACAGATCTAATCCTATAATAACAACAGAGGAATCTGAGCCCCACTCTCTGTCTCCTTTCAGGCTACCATCTGAGCAGAAACCAAAACAGCTATCAGGAGAAGGAGACTCCTGGGAGCATCAGATAGGGAAAAACAGGGGGAAAGAGCTGTGTGACGGGGAGATTCATGCAGAAATGTTTAGCGAAGGTGGGAGGATAGAGAGAGGGGAGAGAGAGAAGGAGGGAGGAGACTGGGTGCACTGTCTGAAAGCATGCGACTTTTCTGAAAGTGCGGGCGGGTTTTTTAATGAAAACCCCTGGCACTAGACTCACGACTGGAAGGTTCGAATCCCTGCTGCGCACACTGCTGTTGTACCCTGGAGGGAGGTGCTTTATCCCAGCTGCTCCAGTGGGGACCTGCACTGCTCAGGGGATAAAGCCTGTGACAGACCAGCTATCCCCTTCAGGGAAGAGTCCGTTTGAGCCTATGGGGAACTGGGATGAGCCTCTAGACCCGAATCTGGGCTTTACCTTCATCTTTCCTCTCCTTTTATATCCTCAATCCTCTTGCATGTCTCCCAAGAGAAGAAAAGAGACAGAGCCTGTGGGATTTCCAGTCTCCTGTGGCCTGGGTCTGACGTGTGTGAGATTGAAAGTGGAGGCAAAAAAACACCTTCTCCTTATATCCTCCATTCCCTTATATACCAGAGATCTCTGGGAATTAAACCTAAATTTAGGAAGCTTTTAGGTCAGCATTCGGCATTCCTGTCCTGTCAGGATGAAGCTGATACAATCTGACACACTGGCTACACACTGCTCTTCTTGGAAATAAAAAAAGAGCTGACAGTCCAGCAGTTAAGACAAACTCCACTTTTACCATAACGTTTCTAAGAGACCCTGAGAAAGCTACTCCAGCTCCTTGTGCTTCGGGGGTTTAACTTTTAGAGCAGGTTAATTCCTTGACCTCTCTATCCTAGTGTGCTTCTACTGTTCTGCGCTATAAGGCCATAGACTGTTCTGAAGATGATAACTGTAAACTTCATCTACGCAACACCAGACAGTACATTTGTGGCTTTGGAAAACAACAAGCCAGAGATGTAATCTCTGGAGCATAAACGACTGCATTACTGCTTTCTTTACTTGGAATGCAGTAGGTATCTACAAAAAAGAGCTGTGTGAAATGACAATGTTGATTCCGATCCCCTGAAAGCATGCACCACTACCTTCAAACTTCCTTTCCTACATATAGTAGGTTAGCTTACCATAGGACCATTTCTCGCTTTTGAATGCGCCTTAGCTTAGATATCAATCTCCTGCAGGACAGCGTGTGCATTTGGGTCTGCATGCAGCGGCACGACCCCGCTACTCCGTACGATTTGTTTGTGTTTGTGCCTGCTCCGTTTTGTGCAGGGTGTTTTGTCCCCGCCGCACAGGTCCGCTCATGTCAATGCTGGTGCCAGCCGGAGCAGTGCAAACTGGTTTTCCGTCCTCTTCTCCCACAGGGGGGGGGGAGCTCACCTGCGTCATCGCTGGGGAGGCTCCGGGGGGCGGCGGTCTGCTCGGGGGGCAGAGGGGGCTCCACGCTCAGCTGGTAGACCCTCCTCTCGTCCAGCCCGCAGTAGTGGTGGTGCAGGTGGCAGGAGTACAGGCCCTGGTCAGGGGGCTGCAGGTTGGAGATGGTGAGGGAGAAGTCGCCCAGGGAGAAGGCCTCGTCCGAGATGTTCATCTTGCGGCGCAGGAAGAGCGGGCCGTAGTGGCGGCGCTCCCCCGAGGCGTACAGGTCCACCAGGCGATCGGCGCGGTCGTGCCGGACCCCTGGGGACTGCCGGTCCCAGTGCACCACCTGCTGCTCCTCCTCGCTGTGCCCCTCCGTCCACACGGGCCGGCGGTTCACGCAGGGCAGCGCCACCGTGCTGCCCACCAGCACCACGAACACCGCCTTCTCGCCGTCCCAGAAGCGCCTCTCCTTGCGGGCTGGAGCAGAGGGGAGAGGAACTGTAATAACAAACCTCGCACTTAGACAGCGCTTTTCGGGACACCCCACTCAAAGCGC